GTCTTCTTGCAGGTGCGCGACAGCTTCTCCAACCTCAGGTCCGCTATGGCGGACTACAGCCTTCGGCGGCCACCTCTGCTACGGCGCATCAGGCTCTGCACACGACGCGCGCATGGAATAGCGGGTACCAGCTCCGATACCAATGCAATCAGACTCGTTCTCATTCACACTTTTCATGCATGTAAACAGCAGCGGAGCAAACTGGCGACATGCGCCCACTCAAAACTCAAAGATACGGCATCCAGATACGAGTTCACTTTCAACTGGCTATGGCGACTCAGCACCTAAACAACTCACTGTTCACACACACTGGATCACCCTGGATATCCCACACGTGTAACTCTGAACACTCACACATACACACACACACACACTGTACACTAACTACAGCTATGGCAGCTATGGCTGCCTCTACCCTATCGCTATACTAAGCTCCTTCTCTCTCGCCCACTGCGTCCTCCGGGCTCACTGCAGACCTCCTTGCACAAGTCGCTGTGGCAGCGCTTCCGCATGGCTCACGCAGGAATGAATGAATGGCTGGGTGCTGCCTCTTGATTTATACTTCTGCAGGTCGTTGGTCTGGCCCATTTCCCTTGCCCGAAGTGCACACAGTCCCGTGCAGTACTTGCTTGACCGAATGGGGACTGGGACTGTTGACTCAGCAGGGTAGACTTCCCCCACTTGCCCACTTGCCTCACCACTTGACCACTTGCCTCTGCTTGAACGTGGGCAACTCATGAAAGGCCACTACTGGGACCTTCCGGAAGGCCGTAGACTTGGCCTTTCGTGACTGTAGCAGCTACGAYTCTGACCCTTCTGGACTGTAGCAGCTACAACCTTGACCTTTCGAGAACACTACAGCTACGATGTCTAGACCTGACTAAGACTCCTATCCGACAGGTCTACAGATCGAACCCATGTTACCTATGGACCCTACGACAACCTATCAGCTGCTACAAATACGCAGGTCGCGGGTTCAACTCTACGGGTCGACACAGGTACTGTACACAGGTAAGGTTGGGGTCTAGGAAACGAACCCTGGGATCTGCAGCAGGTACTGCTAACTGGTGAATACCGTTTCAAACTGATCATACTATGTTTTATGTGCAACTATGTTGTGTTTTATGTGCTTGTCAAGCTTTGCACCCTCGCATCATAACAATATCGGCGGTAATCAGCAACTATGTCGAATAATAAACAACTAGCCCAGTGGCACCATACAGTGTCCTTGGTTTCCTAGGATTGCTGGGGTTTGCAATTCAGACGAAAGTTTTGCAGCAGTCGTTGGTGTCACCTGAGGTAGCGAACTCTTACGCACCAGAATGCCGATGTGTTTGCTGGACTTGCAGTGAAACGGTGGATCATTGCATCATGTTGACAGTCATGGTCCATTGTTTCTTGCTCCTTAGCAACGTTAGCTGCTTATCCCCTTGAAAACCGTGTTCAAAGGTTGGTTCAGTTTTTTCCCCTGGCTTAGTCATCCGGCAGATGCATGCTTACGTCTCATGGAACCGGAATCCAACCGCACATAGGTATCAGTAATTAGTTAGAGTAAGCTGGAGGCAGAACAAGGAATATGCATGTTGTAAGACTTGCAATCTGTTGTGAAAGCTGGCAAAGGGAGATGGATTTGGGGGCTGAAGGCACGAGTCCAGGGATTGGGGAGCACAGTAGGCAAATGTTTAACAGAACAGGAGCTGAATAACTATGGAAACACACAGGCTGATAGAAAGGCAAGTGGACAGGTATCAACAAATAATGAGGGGAATCTAGGTAGGCATTGAATAGTTATAGAATGAGACATCGACGAAATTAACGCAGCCAGCAAATCCAACAAGAAAAGCACGAAGAACCGCACACTTCTTCAGACGAAAGTTCCTTACCAAAGAGAAGCATTTGCAAGAGGGCGATGACAGCTATGAAGAAAAAAGTAACCGCGGATAAGGAGAGGGTGCAGAGTTTTACCCAGTTTGTGCCTTCCAACTGACGATAGTAGGATGCTGCCACATAACCAGCAATTCCTGATGTCAAGGCATATATCACAATGAGAGCAGTGAACAGTGCCCCACGATTATATGGGTAAAAGACGCCAACTAGTGCCAGTATAAAGATGAAGAGTGTCCTGTAAGCAGCCACCATTGGACACAGGAAATCCGCCATTTCTCTAGACATTAACAACCTGTTATGTGACTGATTGAAAACGAAATTCCGAAGAGCATAAAGGTGTTCCCATTCACATGCGATGATGACATAGCAGGTTTGAAGAGGTATTCACACCACACCAGAAAGGGATATGCACAGCAGAAGCCCGATAACCAAGAACATTTGAATATTATCAATCTGCAAGGAATATGAGTGAGAGCGATATACAGAAAGCCAAGTTGCGAAATCACACAGATGTCCAAGTAGTCATGTACCAAGCAGAGAGCATGCATGCGCCAAGATTCCATCCACATAAGAGCGTTACAATGAACTCATCAGCCAATGTTCACGCCCTTAGGCCACACCAACGCAGTATCCAATGCCGCTCCTACTGTATGGCGCCCAGCGCCCTTCCTACTCTACCTAGCCTATCCTACTACAGCCGCATTCACGCAACAGGCGCACTTCGACTTTGAAGACCAATGTAGATGTGGCAGACTGCGTAGCCACACGGGCCCTGTAGGACCCGTCCCGGACATTCAGCCTTAAAGCCTAAAACTTAGGAGCTACAGGCCCCGGTCGTTTCAGCCTGAAAACTAAAAAATGAGGGCCTGCAGGCCCTACTCCGTTTCAGCCTATTTCTGGGTCTTTCAGACCCAGAGTTTTTCCAGCCTGAAACGGAGGGCTATTCTTAGGCACTGGGCTATTTTTAGGCCCTCATTTGTTTCGACCTGCCCTAAGATTCAGGCACGAAAACTGGGTTTCGGAACAGGCTATTTCTGGCCTGTTCCCACGCCAGCTCGAGCAGGAGCTGCAGCTGCAGCCCCTGCCTCCCTGCGGCATTATTGGCATTAGCACGAGCAGGAGCTGCAACTGCAGCCCCTGCCTCCCTTCGGCATTATTGGCAAGAGCACGAGCAGGAGCTGCAGCTGCAGCCCCTGCCTTCCTTCGGCATTATTGGCAAGAGCACGAGCAGGAGCTGCAGCTGCAGCCCCTGCCTCCCTT